AGAGAGAGAGAGAGAGAGAGAGAGAGAGAGAGAGAGAAAGTGCTTCATCTTTATAGAGAAGACTTCCCAGAAATAATGCACTACTCTTTGGTATATGTGTTCATGGATCTCATTGGCCAGAACATAGGCATATGGCTAAGTGTAGCCTAAAGAAAGACAGGAAATAGTTTTATAGATGGCTGATAAAATATCTACTTAGAATAAGAAATTCTTTCAATAATGAATTATCTGTAGATATATTTATAGTCAAAGAATCTTCCTCGATAGCGTGGAGTCTGAAGAAGAAACGCATGCCTCACCGCAGGTGTTGTTTCTCATTTTCACATAGGCGTAGCCCTCCGCGCCCCACGAGCTTCCCCAGGAGTTGCGCACGATCCAGTAGGGAGTGCTTCCTGAAAGACACAAGGAGGTGCAAACCCGCGCAACTTGGGGGCACACAGCTTCTGGTCTCAAATTGGGTTTCTGCAGGTCCAATAGCTCTGAGAAGATGATGCACATAATGTCTGGCTATGTGTGTATATATATATATTATATATATATGATTTTACTTATATATATCATTATATAAATGCATGGTAAATTGACAAATGTAGTAACATAATAGCTGACCTTTACGTTATACAGATTATCTTTATCAGTATGAACAAACTAGCTAAGGACACGTGGGCTGGATTAGTGTCACACTCTAATCATGAGACACATGTTTGAATTCATTTTGCTCAATTGAGAGACTGAATAAAATGAAAGCAAACACACAAGCCTAGGAAATTTGAGGAAAGGAACATGAAGAATTATTGCACATGTAATTAATAAGCACTTATTACACATGTAAATTAATAAGCACTTCTTTTTTCCCCACAATTACTCTAAGTATTCCACATAGAGACCACATAGCCCTTCAATGCAATTTCACTGTCTGGGTCAGGGTTCCGGTCAGTGGGAGAGGGCTTTTCTGCCACGTATGAAGCCCATGTTCCGTTCTTGGCACAGGAAACAAAAGGCACCCTGGAGACACGCGGATAGGCAGAATGCAGCAAGGTGCTGGACGCGCACTGGAATATCGCTGACAAGTTGGTGCCTGGACACAGCAGACCAAATTCCAGCACCCTAGAGTTGACCATGATTGGACAGTGCTCAGCCTGGAAGCAGAGGCTGTGGCTGGTCAGCACCCACCTGTTTGATCGAAGCCAGTGACGAGCACCGCGTGGTTGGCTTTCCCGCTGGAGCAGTGGTGCTGGATGACGCCCCCCAGGTAATCCTGCCAGCTCACCGCGTCCACTATCACCACCAAGGGGCCGGACAGCAGAAGGGCTTGCGCCATCGCATCCTCTTGGTCACTGCAAAAGAGGAAATCCTTGGGGAAGGAATTCAGCTGGCATGGCAAAAACAAAAATTATCTTTTAAATCTGTGTATGATTAGAAGTAGGTTTGGTTTCAGTTAGAAAAGGCCTAAATGACAGAGGCTCAAAAAATATCTAGAGGGCCAGGGAAATAGCTCAGTGGCACAGTGCCTGCCTGGCAAGCTCAAGGTCGTGAGTTCAATTCCCGGCAAAAAAAAGAAGTCTAGGAATCTGGGAATTTTGTATTTGAAAACTGTACGTGGATCCAAGATACCAGAAATCTAGACTGAGTCCTTTTCTTTTTCTTTTCTTTTCTTTCTCAAGATCTCCTAGGCCAAAAAGGCTGCAGGGGTCTGAGACATTTAACACCTACTTCTGACAGCAGGGAAAGGAAAGGGGAAGACTTCCCAGGAGTAATACACCCCTGTTCTGTGTATGTGTGCGTGGATCTCATTGGCCAGAATGTAGGCTTATGGCTATGTTTGCTATAAAGGAAGATAGGAAAGGGTTTTATAGTTGGATGGCAAAGTACTTAACATATAAAGAATTCTTTAATAGTGAAAGTATACAGACTAGATATTTAGAATTACTTTCTCATCTATGCCACACCCTGTTAGAATCAAGAGACGGACAAATTTACGTTAGTGAATACAGAAACTATAGGGGAGAGTTACCCAAAAGTAGTGAATACAGTTACACAAAAGAGGGAACACCTTAAAAAGCAAAGGAGAAACGTGAAGGGGTCAGCAGCACTGCAGGTGTTAGGTGACCAAAACTACAAAAACACAATGATTGCTTTTACAATTAGTATGGAATCTACTGGCAAAAATCTTCTGTTGCACAACACTTGGCCTTTATCGATCTTGAAAGTATGTGATTAAACCATTATTTACATTTTTCAAAGGTCAACTTCATGGGTGAAGGACACTGAAAACAAGTTACTGATAGCTCAGGCCATTAAGAGAGCATTTGGGAGTTTATTGCTTCAGCAAGCTATGGTGGATTAGAGGCCTGAAAGAGTAAATAATCATGCCCAGCTGGAGAGGAGTTTCCAGCAAGGAGAGATTTTATCCACGGATGAGGAAAATCCAGATTGCACAACAGTGGCGTTTATTAGAACAGGAACTCTGCATTCATTTTACATACAATCATGTAACCTATGAACTTGAAGTTTGCTTCTGAGAGGCCTATGAGCAGAAACTTGTCAGTTTTGCTCTACTTCTTGGCATTCGTTATACCAAAACATGCAAATTTATAAAACTTTTCAAAAGCATAATGATAGAATGTGAGCTTTGATTTTCCTCAAATCTGGGTCCAGTTGCCAGCTGTACACTATATTCTTCCCTCTAACCACGCAGAATCAGCATCGACATAAAATTACATAGTTTTGCTGGAAGCTCTGTAACATGTGTGTGATGGGTTATAGTCTATCCTTGCAATAAACTTTTTATTTATGTCATTTAAAAGTGATTCTGTTCAGCAAAGCTTTGAGTGTATAATGTGGAACTCATTCTTCAAGTTCTTTTAATATTTTTTATTAAAATGTGAAATATATGATAAACTCCGTATTAACCAGCAGAGTTCTCCTCACTTAATTCAGAGAACAAAAAGTGCAAACACATCACATTAATGACCCGGTTACAGGGATGCCATGACAGAAGCACGAGGGCTGAGAGGGGAAATATTAATATTAATCTGCACAGCTGAGATCTGCCAAAGACACAAACACCTGTCACCACAAAATGCAAAACTGTCATTATGTGCTTGTAAAAGAATCAAATTGAACATGAGGAAAAGAAAAGAATAAACAAGAGAGAGCAGGAGATGTAAAAAGAGTTAAGATGAGTCAGGTGTGTAAATATTATATATTGTGAACACATACAAAAACAACCGAAGGGGATTGAGGGATGGAGCGGGACGAAGGGAAGCAAAAGGGAACGAGACAAGGAACCCAGTCATGTTCTGCGCATGTGCCAATTCCCCGCAAGGAAGGTGAACGTCATGAGCTGCAAACATGCGCTAATGGAAAAGAAGAAATGCTTTAAAAAAGAGTATGATGAAGCCTTCAATCAGATTTTCATTCTGAATAGTCACCACATCATAAATTAAGAATATCAACAGAAGATACTTACCTGAAGTCATATGCAACATAATCTCGGATTGAAAATCCGGGCTGTGAGCTGGAAAAGTAACGACACAGGCCATTCTGTGCTTTAAATGGGTATTCCGAGTCTCTCACCAGTTTTACTCGTGTCTGAAAGAAAGTCACCCAAAGTGTTCATGTGTCAGTTGTTTTAAGAATCAGATAGAGTTTACTTCAGCATGGCAACATAGGTTCAACTTCACCACACCACCACTGAGGTGCTTGCTGTAGGCGTCCTCGACAACCAGAATGAACACATTTCTTCCTGGCTTGCTCCTATTTCTTTTAGGCCAGTTTTCCCCAAACTCCCATCCCTTGGCTGAGTTCCTGGTGGGGAACCTTCCTCCAGTGGTGTCCCTGGAGTGAGCAGGCCTTGAGACCAGCGCAGTGGTTCAGACTCAGATGAGACCGAGGCGGCGCCTTCTTCATACCCCTTCCCCTAGGCCATCCAGCCAGCACCTGTCACATATTTGACAGTTCTCTGTACAGAATCCTTCCCTTCTGGATCCCCGGCTTATTCGAATGGAGAGGACACACAGTTTATCATGGCTCATTGTGTGTACAGAGCGGCTTCTGATTCAAAATGCAGCGAGTGTACAATGGACGGTTCGGGGAATTCTGGCTTGGTGAAGTTTTATAAAACCACAACAGTACCCTCGCTGCATGCTTTCATGCAGTAGAGCGGGGATGAAAACAAATGTCAGAACACTTCAGGGCACCGGCAAAGCCCTAACAAGAAGCACAGTTCTGCCGGCAACTGACTCGGCACTGCTACTGCAGTGCTCAGTTCTCACTTCTTCATCTAGAAAAAGAGTCATGGGTAGACGACCTCTAATGTGTGCTTTCAACTTGACATTCGGAAGTTCTACGGAAATGGGTACTAACACTCTCATTTTTGTGGGACATTATGTATATGTATCTGCAAAAAAAGAATTACCCTTCAAGGAGGGTTAACAATCAAAATATCTTTCTGAAAACAGGTTTCAGGTAACTTTTGTTACTCTTTGACAGCTTGATAGTTAATTTGCCTGGAAGCAATTAATTATTAAATCTTGTGATTAATTGAGTAACGCTTTGGTCATCTAAATGTCTGAAGGCGGGAACATGTTTAATCTGAGGAGTAATTGGAATTTTGTGCGCAGAGCAACAGGAAAAGAGGAAGTCAGGAGTCCAAAGGCTGAGAGCTGGTTACCTTGTTCAGCCAGCTCAAAGCACTGAGAGGTGAACCTCCATTGCACCCGAAATTGTTATAGGAGCAGTCGATGACCTGCTGGGCACTTAGGTCTTCCAAAGGCTCCCCCCGAATGGCCCACGCAGACTCCACCGCACCCACCACACTGAACGCCCAGCATCCGCCGCACTGTGCCAAGGAGAGAAGGTGTGGTGTGGATTACCAAGCAGCGTTATGAAGTTCAACAGAATTTCCAGAGTCTGGAAATCTACAAAGTATATACACCTATCCTCTAGCTTTTCAAGTTCAACTCAAAAAGAAAACAATTCTCTTTTGAACATCAAGATCTGAGTGTTACTTAAAGATAAATTAGTAATATTGCTACTGTACATTAAATATTATAAGATATACTGGGTTATCAGAGATTATGAAAACACTTGGAATAACCAATGGTCTCTAAAGGTCTGGGCTCTCTGAGCACCTAACTTGTGGAAATGTTGCAGAAAAACCAATATCAAACCAAATGGAAGGGGCTGGGGATACAGCTCAGTGGCACAAGCGCCTACTTGGCAAGCATGAGGTCCAGCGTTTGATTCCCAGTACCAAAACAAAAAACAAAAAACAAAAAAAACAAATGGAAGACTCTACAGTGAGGAATTAGAAGGCAACTTTTATCATGCTAGTGGGCTGATGGGAACCAGCTTGAAATCATCAGCCCAGAGTCCGGTTTGAGTTTAGTTTAAATACAGTTTGCAAGCGGAAAGCACAAAGCTGATAGCAGGTTATTACAGGATTGGTGACATGGAATACAAGAATTCTGTCATATGTTGGCAGGCAGAGTTGTTTTATTTATTTATTTAGTTTTTGGTTTTTCTCTGGTACCGGGAACCAAACTCATGACCTTGCGCTTGCCAGGCAGGTGCTTTGCTGCTGAGCTAAATCCCCAGCCCCTTGGGCAGAGTTGTTTTAAACGGGTTTACTTAAAAGGAATTGTTTGTCAGTAGCCAGGAACGTTCTGAGAGGGAGGCGGTCTGAGAAGAGTAGGTAGAATTGAAAGTGTGCTTGATTGGGCCAGTGTGTTCTGGGCACAAAGTATAGAGTCTTTGAAGCAAGCCGAAACAAAGCTACACATGCACATATTTTAAGGTGAAAAACACAGAGACTACAGCTGGATGTGGTCAAGCCGACCTGGCCGGCTGTACGGAAGAGGCAGCTGGATGCAGACCGCCAGAGCCCACTGAGCCTAACTGTGTGACAGGCAGAATGAGCATAGTCACAGGCTATTAACTGATTTTTAACTTTTGCTATAAAGCGAGTATAAGTTTGCTATTTTATAAGTTTGCCCTGACGTTGCCAGCAGCTCTTTTCCTGGAGACTGTGTCCTTGAGCTCCACCCCACCCTTCAGTCCTTTCTTCTGTCACTCTCTGATTTTACAGTCCCACCTGCGAGGTCAGGTGAGTCGGGACAGTGACGAAGATGTGTGTGTGCTCGCTATTTGACAGAAATAGGTGCAGCATGAGTTGCTGCGTTATCAATGTACAGGCAGGCAAATACCGCGCATGCGTGTCCTGGGGCCTTTGACTCCTACCAGATAAAGTGATGTTGGTCATTTCTCAAATTCTTGCCCACCGTGGATGTATGTGTTCGCTTTTAGTTAACAAAGATGATCAAAAAAATAAAAGGCTGATAGAGAAAGGGAGGAGACAGGAGAATGGAATTAGGGATGTCGGATTCTGAGATATGCCTTTGGTCAAGTCACAGGAGAAACTCCTGCTAAAATATCCTTCAATATAGTCCTTTTCTAATGATTCCCTTTAACCTGATGTAGATGCTTCTTGGAGGAACTGGCTGGGTGGCTAATTCACAACCTACTGTGAATTCAGTAATAAAGCAAATGATTTGATGGTAAAATTTAATGCACAACTATAAACACTGACTGTGATCGCCAGAAAAGATCGTTCTCACTGGATAAAGACTGAGCAACTGACAGGTGTAAAACACGTTCCATCCAAGGGAAGGCTGAAGGACCCGCTGAGGTGTCCCTGTGCACAACCTGAAGCAAAGGGAGAGGACCCCGCTGTTCTTGCTGTTTGTCTCTCCCTCTGCGTACGGTGGGCTGCAGATGGGTAGGCACTACAACGAGGCACACACTCACACGCCGAGAGGCATCTGGCAGCTAGCTGGGTCCCTGTGTGGTCACAGCCACACTCATTCACATCCGGCATTGTCACTTTCTTTCTGATCTCACACGGCCCTCCCTCCATCAATCACAATAATCCACAAGCCGCAGATCTTCCCTCTCTTACTTCTGCAAGCACATACTGCATCTTTTCCAGGATAAATTATTGCTCTTCTTACTGCAGTGCTTATATATTACTTAATCATTCAAACACCTGTACAGTTGTGCTACCATGCGTATGAATTTCCCATCAGCTTTTAAGAGGTATCACTGTGATTTTAAACACTGCTATCTAAGCTGACTTCTTCCATAACTCTGTCACTGCACAGATGATGTTTTCAGCAATGTATATGTCATCTTATGCTTGAACTGATTATACTTTGAAGAACCACAGGTTGAACAGGGAATAAATGATGCCACAGGGAGTGAGGGGTGGGTGGTTTTCTGATGGAGCTCAGAGTGAAGCTGAGAACTTAGAAGATCTGGCTCTTGGGTGAATATATTTAGCCTCCCCTTACCTTTCTAGTTGATTTTCCCTTTGAGTGACTTAAGTAGTTAGTGGTCATGTTCCCCTTTTCTGGCTTGCCACCTGCTACCTGGTATCTTTGCTACAGTGACTGGGAGGCATCTCTGAGGGAGTGTACTGGCAGAAATGGCAGCTAATGAGTGGACAAACCAAGGCAGGTTCATTTTCTGAGAAAAAAGTCAGGATTTCACATCTGCCTGTCACGCCTCAAAGATCCTCCCTTTCTTGGCATTTTTGAACGATTGAGTTGTGCTTTTACCTAGAAAATAATGATGGGTTTTCTTGCAAGTTTGGTTGAACTTGACCTCAGAAGTGCTTTCCAATTCTTCACAAAAGACAGAAGGGACCTGAGACTTACCGTCTGCTGATTTCTCACTTGTGTCACGACATGCTTCTCCCTCCAGTCAAATCTTAATGGCAAAGATGTGCTGGGAATGGAAGTCCGCACTTCTGCTGAGTATCGGGGGGCCCTGGAAGGTTTGCTTCTTAAATAAATGGCTGAGTAAAAGAGGAAATGAAAAGACAGTCCACAGTGTGTTATAAGGAAGGCCCTTGGTATCCATCTATCTGGATCAATGTTTTAAGTGAAAATAGAAGCTTTCTGGTAAATCTGATGTTTGAAATTTTCCTCTGTGCTTTTCCTATAACACGAAATGCATTCAGCTGAAAGCTACAAAAGAAAATCCCTACAATAAGGTTGAAGCGGACATACAAAATGACTTGTTTGACAGAATCAGGTCAGTAATCAAAAATGAGCATAACTGATATTTCTCTCATCACAATAGCAATAGTGCTATGAAACTGCAGAGATACTGAGACCAGCTTTCCTTATAGCTGCACGAGCACGTATACAATTACAATGTTTAGTTCTTAAGTAATCATTAGTACAGCAGGACCATAAATACACTTTTCTTAAAATTAGGACATGGTATGTGCTTGATACATACTAGTCGATAAGCATTTAATAAACATCCACTATTAAATCTAATTTGCCAGATTTACGGTGAAACGATTCCTCAAAAATTAAGCAGAGAACTGTAAATGAGGAAATGTGCAAATAATAGTACTTTCAGACCATACCTTTAAACTCTTCAGGAAACAAATAAGAAAATTGATTTATTCCATAAAAAGCAGTGGAGTTTTCATGAGGAAACAAAGAATTCAAGTATTGATGTCTCTTAAGACTTTCCTAAAACAGAAACAAAGAATGATTCTATATAGACCATGTAAACTTGCCAAAGCAATCTATGTATGACTAACTTGCGGTTGTCCTTCGGGGGCAAAGTATAAAGGTTGATTTCCTGCAGGTTAGTGTAAGACATCATATCATATTTATAAACACTTCCTATTGAAAACCACTGTGTATTTATATTTTTAAAGGCTGAGCAAGAGTCCTATCCATTTGTATTCTCTTCACCATGCATGTTGAGAGTAGTACATATGCGTTGTTATAGTGTCAACAAAGTGGGAATGAATTGCAGGTAAGCTGTGGATACTAGTGGCTGATTATCTCTCACAGACAAGCACTCATGTGATTAAACAGTTATGATTATGGGAAATCATCTTCCTCATCTTTGTTCTCCCAGCACTGAGCAATGAGGCATTCAGAAAGGACTGAACGGGTCTAACTCTATGAAACCTTTATAGACAGCTGTAGCTCCTTTGGACCGAAAGCTTTCAGGAAAGGGATGCAATTCGAGAAATCTTCCAGGAAGACAGCTTAGCTTTTCTGTCTGGAGGGAAAAATGTGCCCATCATTTATCGATTTCTAAACTCTGAATTTTGTTACAATTTATTTTAGGTTTGTCTTTTCTATAAGGTTATTTAGTTTCCTAAATCATACAGGTTAATGAAAGTTCAGAATATTTTCATTTGGTAAGTTTCCAATTCCAGTTCTTTCACACATTGTTTTATATACTTATGTGTTTATTGTCTGTGTGTCTCAAAAATCAAGATGAAAAATGCGGGCAGGTTTACCAATTTTAGTCATCACTGTGTTACCACCCTGAGCACACCCACAATAGCTCCTCAAGGACTGTTTGCCATTTAACAATTAGGCCAATGACATTTCCAAGAGTCATGCCCTTCATAGCTATAAACTGTTTATTTTTAACTAAACAATTACTCGTAGATGCCATGATCTTTCCCCCCTCTTTATTGAGCATTCCTAGAAGAATTGCTTATCCATAAACTAATAAAATTTCAAATTTCAGGTTTTTCAACTCTTGGTGAAGCAGGGCTTTGAAAACAATCTGGATATATTCATATAAAAATAAAACTAAAATACAAGGCATTCTTTCTATGGCAAGTGACACACATCAATCAGACGTTGCTAACCGCTGAAGAATTCACAGTAATAATTCATCCCCTAAGTGCCGACTGACCACTGCTTCTGGAGCTTCAGGAGTCAGGGAAGGCGCTGAGAGCACAGGCCGTGAACCGTGTGCGGCAGCCCACAGGTGCACCTCACAGAACTCCATGTTTCTTGAGCCTGCTATTACGGCCACTGGCAGGACTGTCACCACCACACACAGAGAAGCCAGGGCCCCCTACCTGCCCCTTGTTAATGACAGAGGCTGGTGACTGGAGGAGACCCGGGCTGTCCTGACGGCTCAGTTTTGATGCATGATTCCCTACTGGTCTCACCCACCTTGCAAGCCTCCCTGCACTGCACAGTAGAATAGGAAGCTTTTCCCCACCTTTCATCCTCCTTCACTCAGGTTCAGGGCTACCTTGTTGTGGAACAGCCCCCAGTCCCTTGCTCACCCCTCACAGGCACCACTCCTATGATCTAAAAAGGAGGGGAGAAAAAACTCCAATGACTAATGTCAAAAATGAAAGAAGGACCACAACTACACACGCTTCAGGCGTCAGTGTTCCAGTCTATCAAGAACTTGACGTCAACAAATTTGACAACCTGAATGAAACTGACAAATTTCCTGAAAAACACAGATTGCCAAAGGTAAAAGTGAGAGTGATGGGAAACTGGAGCAGCCTTTTATCAACTAAAGGCATTAAAACTGTAATTGAAAATCGACCCACAAAGAAAACTCCAAGCCAAGATGGTTCAATGGTGAATTCTACACAAGCAAGAAAGAAATATCACCAATCTAATGGAAAATGAAAGGCAAGGGATACTTTGCAACTGAAACAAGACCAATGTTACCCTGATTCTTGATTTATAAACATTTCTAAATGAATACATTTATCAAAGTATTTAAGAGTTGGATGCTGAAATCTACAAAATATTACAAATGACATTGACAGAATTCACGATTAATGGTGATCTATGCCGTTCATAGTGTGGGAAACTTAATATTGATTGTAGAAGCGATCTTTCCCAAATTGATCTAGAGATTCAATGTCATCCTAATTGAAATTTTAATTTATTTTTTGAAGAAATCAATAATTTGACAAGGTCATTTACAATTTGATGTCAAAGGAGAAATAATGTCAAAATCGATAGTGTTACCTACAAGAAGCACCTGTTTACCTCAAAAACTACAAAGAAGAATTGGAAAATAAACAACTCTAATCAAACTGTAACTAGTTAATAATGCTACAATTCAAAGAGCTCTTTCAATGACTATAAAGAAAATGAAATACTAATTAAAATTAGTAAACACTGACTAATCTTACATTATCAAAGTTAGCAAAAACACTTGATTAATAAATATATGGTTTCTCCGTGCCAGCACAAAGTGACAGTATCTGAATTAAGAATAGCATGTTCTTGTCACTATGACTTCCATGTATTGTATATACGTCTTTCAGCAAGATGGCAATGTGGAACCACAGTACCACACACACACACACACACACACACACATACACACACACTCACACACACACAGTAGAATACCCCTTTCAGTGTCCTCAAAATTGCACAAATTCTTTGACCAAGAAAACTTAATTCTAGAATTTTACTTGATTATCACATTTTGTTGATGCTGGGGATTGAACCCAGGTCCTCCTGAATGCTAGGCAAGCATTCTCCCCCTGAGCTGCAAGCCTGGCCTACAATTTCCTTTTAGACTCATGAGTGTGGGCACTGAGACAGCTCGAGGCATGCAGTAGGTGCATTTGTGAGTTTGTATAAATGCGTGGTTGTTTAACAGCACTCTCTCAGCTCAGTTACAGAGCTAACACATGTATATCTTTCTAGATAATTTTTGTAATCTTATGAGAAAAACAAAATTTTTGTCAATGAGTTATGAAATTCCGAGTATTAAAGTTAAAATGTTTAGAAACTAAACATATTTATGCATCATCATGTTCTTGGTCAGGTCCAAAAGACCTCTCTTGATTGTACTGCCTTAGGAACATCACTTGGTCATCCAAACTTTAGTCATTCTGCTACTGAAGTAGCTACAAATGCCAATTTTTAATGAAAAATGCATACATTATGGCTTTATGTTTAATATCCATTCTCTGATTTTCACGATGACCCCAGGAACAGTTTCCTGCTTTCGGTCTTACGCATTTGAAGAGACAAACCTCCCCCCCTGCACACATACTCTCATTTGTGGCTTTCTACAGTTCTTCAGCCTACGTTTGCAGTGCAGGTATCTCAGGAGTGTGGAAATGCTGCTCTCTGCCTCCTGTTCAATCAGAGGCCACCTTCTAAAAGAAGTTCATTGTCACTCTCGAGTGCCATGCCAGCGCAAGGACTCCTGCCATCCCTAACTCTCCACCACCCATGGCCAGGATATCAGTGTTCACTTCTTGGCAAGAGTAAACTACAGTACCCAAAGCACTGGGTTTCACCCTATTCTCCATTATCCCCTCACCCTTCCTCTGACTCTATAAGACCACGAGTAGCACCAAAAGTGCTTCCCTGGAGAGTTCTGAACAAAGCACAAATCCCTTACACCTTTCAGGATGGCTTCCTCTAATCTCTAAATTTGCAACAAACTTACTATTGCTGTGCAATCTTTTGCTGGTACACGTTTGCGGTGCACTTAGGGTCGGGGACCGCCGTGTGCATCACACACTCCCATTCTTCCCTTCACCCCCAAAGACTCTTGCTGTGAAATCTCCATCTATGCACTCGACTACTTTGAACTTAAAGATTGAATAAGGGAGTATTTGGAGAACACTGCAGTGGCTGGAAGAATAGATTCTCAGTTTAAATATTTTCATGTTCTAGCTTCTATTTCGTTTAAACATAGAACATTTGGTTATAGTAAATGTCCTTCAAATATAACATTTCAGGTTCACTTGGGTTAAAGTGGACCAAATATTTCTCAGGGTGTTTGAAGTGAGGACTCATTATCTATTTAAAGCTATATGCTTAATTAAAAATCACTCCAGTATATCCAAAAATTGTTTTTCTATTTTCTATAATAGTAGAACACATATCAAGCCCACCTAACATAAGTTTCCTATTATTAAAATTTAAATTTTTAAATTTAAATTTTAAAATTTCATTTCTTGAGTGATCTATTGGCTGACTTGGATTCTGACTGTAAAAGCAGGTTTCACAGAAACCTCACACTGTAGATCTACATTAGGCTCCTGGGTCTCATGATATTACCGGTCTCTGGCATAGCATCATCATAGATGAAGGACTGATCATTTTGTTCCTAAGCCAGTAGAGGACATAATGGGGAGCAACTACAGAGTAGCTGTCCCTAAAGCCATAAACAGGAAATCTAAGTTTTAAAACCTGTGTCTGTGCTGACTGAACTGGGCCATCTCGCACGCTAAGCCCTGCGCTCTGACATTAACCCTAACCCTGAGCCCGAGATCTGAACCTTTCATTTAAGAGAGATGTAAGGCTTCAAGAAATATATAAAAAGCTTTTTCACTAGTTGTTTTCAAAATGCAATAATCTGAAAATTAGATGGATCTTATGTGAGAAAAATTAAAGTTATAAATCAAAAGTCTTTGAACATATCTGGTGGAAAAAAACTACCTTCACCCTATTTATTTAATGAAATATGTTTAATTCACTGAGTTACCATGAGATTAAAAAGATTCCTGGGGAGAGGTATCAGAGGGTTGAAGAAACTTGAAGAAATTGTTCAATGATTATAATATAGGGAAAGGAAATTTCATAGACACTGAAAGATACTGTGCACCTTAAATTCCTCTAGTCAACATTCTACCTTAAGACCCTGACTCTATAAGATGCTGTCTACATTTATAGCGACTTCTAGGAGCTGGAACTTCTCAAAGTTCTTTCTG